TCATTGGAGACTGTAAAAATGGATGGTTATGCTTTTCACAATCATCCAAGGAGTTTGTCCTACAATAGCAGCAACCCCTTTTTCAAAGAAATTCAAGACCAACAACATGGTGGAGTTGGCATGTATAGTGCAGAGAATTTGGCATACAGTATTATCCAGGTACCAAATGTAAATTTAGAATGTTTGGTTTACCACTGCACTACATACGATATATTAACTGCAGTAATATATAGACCACCATCATATACCATAACATTGTTTAAAGAAAACCTTGGCAAATTACTTGATTGGCTGAATCACAAAAGTAACACCATTGCTGTCATGGGAGACTTCAATGACAACGTTTTGAAATCATCAACCATCTGCAAATTCATGACTAACCAAGGGTTTATCCAAATTGTCAAACAAGCAACAACAGAAAAAGGCACATTAATTGATCATGTGTATGTGAAAACATCACATTATGATGTACAGTCTGTTGTCTTGCCGACATATTTCAGTGACCATGAAGGGATTCTATGTTCATTTACATCCAGGAGTTTGGAACATGAACAGGGACAACTTTGAATAACTGTAAAATGTGTTTTATGGAATCTTTTAAATTAATATATAATGTGTACATAATAATGTATATTTATAATAATAATAATATATAATAATTTATAATATTAATGTTGTAATGTGTGTTGAGGTTTCTTTTCCTGCATTACAACAGCATTTATTAATGAAAAATATCTGAAACATTAACCACTCAAAACTGCACAAACTGCAGAGTTATCCACAATTGGCTAAAAACGTAAAGTACAGTTATGCCATGAAATGCTGGCACTTATATGCTGTTGCTAGTGCAGGTTTTGCTTTACCTTCATGTAGTGTCAGAAAGCAAAAGATACCGGTAATGGCACTCCTGGTTTACTGGGATGGGGTTCGATTCCCTGCGGTGTCCTGCTGATATTTTTGACATTTACATCAAAGCCATATTTGTAAATCAAAACTATATATAAAAAATCTTAAATGTCATGTTACTAACGTGCGTTTCCTCCCTGCAGTTTTTGTGCCTTTTTGTCTTGCAGATTCTCATGGATACTGGTTGTGCCTGCTGCTGTGATCCTGCTTGACACCCACTGTTAATATTATCATCATATTTTTTATGGCTGTTTATGTTGTCATTTTCATCAGCATTATCATTATTACTCATACTATTATAGTTGTTGTTACTTTTGCTGTGCTATGCATCTTTCTCTCTCAGTATAGATCTTTCTGTCTCTACCTGAGAGACATACTCTATTTAAACTTGTCAGTCTGTGATAACTGTTAAGATGTTGCATTATACAAATAAAATTAAATAGAAATTCAATTTGTTTTGGTTTCTGTTCCTACATGACAACTCCATTTATAACAGTACAAATTACATAGTTATCCAAATTTTGTATTCTGTAATATTAAATGCTGTTGCTTATTCAGGTTTTCCCTTACCTTCCTTTGTATTAGTTAGTGTAGCTAGTGTATTAGTTTGTATTAGTAGTTATTGTTACTATTGCTGTTACTGTGCATCTCTTTCTCTCTCTGTATAGATCTTTCCATCTCTACCTGAGAGGCCTACTCTATTTAAACTTGTCAGTCTGTGATAACTGTTATGATGTTGCACTATGCAAATAAAATTAAATTGAAATTCAATTGGTTTTGGTTTCTGTTCCTACATGACAACTCCATTTATAACAGTACAAATTACATAGTTATCCAAATTTGTATTCTGTAATATTAAATGCTGTCTCCTATATGCTGTTGCTTATTCAGGTTTTCCCTTACTTTCCTTTGTTTAGGCGTTTACATGAAATTTTACACTAGTAATGGGTTATTTACTTCCTGTTACTACTACCACTACTGTTTGGTTATTGGTCCAAGAGGCTTTTTTGATTGTCTGATCATGGCACATGTGAGTACCAATTTTGGTGGAGATTGGACAAAGTACACTTTAATCATGACAACTTCCTTTTGCCACTATGTGGCGCTATCACTATTACTGAATATGATCACATAGATGTGACTTATCATAAATAAATATATCAACCATATGTTTTGCATTTTCTGACCATATTTGAGCTGGATCTGATCAACCTGATAGGAGTAGAACATAAAATAATAACTTGATATATTATTATTATATTATTATACACTGTTATTAACAATAACACTACCATCATATCAGTGCTATTCCCACCATTTTGAAACTACAACTTCTTTGCACCTTACATACCTATTATATATTTTTTATCTTTTCAATCTAAGTCTATCTAGTATTTTACTCTATTGTATTTTATTGTATTTAAATGTACTTGGCTGCTATGATGACCTAATTTCCCTTCAGGGATTAATAAAGTCTATCTATCTATCTATCTATCTATCGTTAAGATTCATAAGATGTTATCGTCATCATCCTAAGGGAGTTCTGACAGGATTTTAGCTGGATCTGGTCAATCTGCTGGAAGATATACAGTAAAGTATAAAAATGACACTTCCTTTCACCACTAGGTGGGTGGCGCTATCACTATAACTGAATGTTTTTTGACTATACTGACCAATTTTGAAGTAGATATGATAAATTCCCTAGGAGGAGTTCGTTCAAATACAAGGCAAAAAATCACAGAAAATGAGCACGGAATGCAAAATGGCTGACTTTGATGCCAAGCCACGGACACGCCGTTTGACGGAATGTCGTAATTAGCACAACTTTTAATCATGAATGTCTTTAGATTGTGCTGATTAAATTTGAAGTAGATCCGATAAATTCCCTAGGAGGAGTTCGTTCAAATACAACACGAAAAATCACAGAAAATGACCCAAAAAATCTAAATGGCTGACTTTGATGCCACGCCACGGACACTCGCTTCAACGTACATGCACAAATAGCACAACCTTTAATCAGCACCATTTTTTGAGTGTACTCACAAATTTTGAAGCATATCCGATAAATTCCCTAGGAGGAGTTCGTTCAAATACAACGCGAAAAGTTCACCGAAATCGAAACTTTAAATCAAAATGGCCGACTTCCTGTGGGGTTTGGGGTATGGGTCCAAGAGGCTTTTTTGTACGTCTCAGCATGTTAAACATGCCTACCAAGTTTCGTACATATCGGTGAAACGTGGCGCCGGGGCTGCTGTTTTTTTTCCTGTAGGGGGCGCTACACACACGACAAACACGATTTTTGGTATGTGAGCTTCAGGCACTACTCTACACGTGCCCTGTGAATTTCATATTCATAACTATTACGGTATCCGCACAGTGATTTATCCTGCCACCAGAGCGCCACCCAGTGGCTTGATTTTTTTCCTTTTAAGGTGAGCCTCAGGGAGCCATGGGCAAGCATCCTACCAAGTTTCATTTTAATCACACGTGCCGTTGCAGAGATATAAACTCCTTCATTTTAAAGAGCGCCACCTAGTGGTAATGGTCTGAAATTGTGCACGGTGCCTAAGGAGGACATGAGGAACTATGGACCTAAGTTTGATGTCAATCGAACATACCAATGTTAAGAAATGGTCCTCTTCCTTTTTGACGAAAAATCTACAGGAAGTCTTAATTTTATAGCACGCTTATCTTTTGAAATTTCAAAAAGGTTCAAATGACTTTTTTGCCAGGGCGGTCCCCAGGTGCCAGGTGAAAAATTTCGTGGGAATTGGACAAAGCGTGTAGGAGGACCACGAAAACGTACTTTAAGGACTTTTCGCACTCTAGCGAAAAAAAATTATAGGCGGAAGGGGGCGGGGCCTATATAGGAAGATTCAGCTCCATTCACTGAACGCGTGGATATAAGTTTTTTGAATGTGCGACAAAATATGCAAAAGTTATTAAGTAACCAAAAAGTGAAAATACTTTCCTAAATAGTAGCGCCACCTAGTGGCCGACCTGAAAAAGACACATAGAATATCAAATTTTTCACCAGGCCTGACAACTTTGCCAAATAAAATTGAGTTTTCGTATATGTTCAGGGGGGGAAAAACGCTGTCGAAGTGGCCTAAAAATAATAATAATAGGTAAGAAATCGAGCAAAAACAATAGGGACCTCCAGCGGTCGCTTGCGAGGTCCCTAATTAAAGCTGCAAGCAGCGTTGGGCGGGACCTCGCACTCCACGCAACTCGGGGCGTGCTGCCACAACACGAAAATTTCACGTAAATCAGCTCAAAATCGCCATGCAGCGCTTACCACCTGTTGCCGGAAGGTGGCGCTATCACTATGTCTTAATATTGTCATGTAGACAAGTTCAGGGCGGGACTGTTGTATCACACGTGAAGTTTCATTGAGATTGGACCACGTACGCTGAAGTTATGAGGACATGTTCAGGGCGAGACTGTTACAGAATATATGAAGTTCACTGGAGATTGGACATTGCACACTGAAGTTATGAGTGGCATTTCATGGCGAATCCGCTGAATTTGACAAGTCGTCACTGGCACGGTCATTTCACGTAACGCAGCACAAAATCGCCATGCAGCGCTTACCACCTGTTGCCAGAAGGTGGCGCTATCACTATGTCTGAATATTGTCATGTAGACAAGTTCAGGGCGGGACTGTTGTAACACACCTTAAGTTTCATTGAGATTGGATCATGTACACTGAAGTTGAGTACTATCTGTTTATGGTGAATGGTCGAAATTCAACGCAACGCCACGGGTACGCCGTTTGACGGAATGTCGTAAATAGCACAACTTTTAATCATGAATGTCTTTAGATTGCGCTGATTAAATTGGAAGTTGATCCGATAAATTCCCTAGGAGGAGTTCGTTCAAATACAACGCGAAAAATCACAGAAAATGACCAAAAAAATCTAAATGGCTGACTTTGATGCCACGCCACGGACTCGCCCTTCAACGTACATGCACAAATAGCACAACCTTTAATCAGCACCATTTTTGGACTGTACTCACAAATTTTGAAGCATATCTGATAAATTCCCTAGGAGGAGTTCGTTCAAATACAACGCGAAAAGTTTGCTGAAAGTGAAAATGAAAATGAAAATGGCCGACTTCCTGTGGGGTTTGGGGTATGGGTCCAAGAGGCTTTTTTGTACGTCCCGGCATGTTACACGTGCCTACCGAGTTTCGTACATATCGGTGAAACGTGGCGCCGGGGCTTCTGTTTTTTTATCCTGTAGGGGGCGCTACACACATGACGAACACGATTTTTGGTATGTGAGCTTCAGGCACTACTCTACACGTGCCCTGTGAATTTCATATTAATAACTATTACGGTATTCGCACAGTGATTTACCATGCCAAAAGAGCGCCACCTAGTGGCGTATTTTGTTTTTCCTTTTTAAGGGAGCCTCAGGGAGCCAGGGGGAAGCATCATACCAAGTTTCATCTTAATCACATATACCGTTGTAGAGATATAGACTTCTTCATTTTAAAGAGCGCCACCTAGTGGCAATGGCCTGAAAATGTGCACGATGCTTAAGGAAGACATGTGGAACTATAGACCCAAGTTTGGTGTCAATCGGACATACCAATGTGGAGAAATGGTCCACTTCCTTTTTTGACGAAAAATCTACAGGAAGTTGGAATTTTATAGCGTGCTTATTTTTTTAAATTTCAAAAATGTTCAAATTAGCCTTTTTGCCAGGGCGGTCCCCAGGTAGTAGGTGAAAAATTTCGTGTGAATCGGAAAAAGCGTGTAGGAGGAACACTTAAAAGTAGTTTATGGACATTTTGCGCTCTAGAAAAAAAAAATTCTAGGCGGAAGTGGGCGGGGCTTATATGGGGAGATTCAGCTCCATTCACCGAACACGTGGATGTAAGTTTTTTGAATGTGCGACAAAGTATGCAGAAGTTATTAGCCTAAACGTATTTTTTATTATAGTAGCGCCACCTAGTGGCAGACCCGAAAGCGACGCATGTAATATCCCCATTTTCACCAGGCCTAATCACTTTGCCAAATAAAATTGACTTTTCGTCTATGTTCAGGGGGGCAAAAATGCAGTCAATGGGGGCTAAAAATAATAATAGGTAAGAAGAAGAAATCGAGCAAAAACAATAGGGACCTCCAGCGGTCGCTTGCGAGGTCCCTAATTAAAGCTGCAAGCAGCGTTGAGCGGGACCTCGCACTCCACCCAACTCGGGGCGTGCTGCGGCCGCGTCGCGTGCCGTCGTAACACGTGGGGACCACAACATGAAAATGTCACGTAAATCAGCTCAAAATCGCCAAGCAGCGCTTACCTCCTGTTGCCAGAAGGTGGCGCTATCACTATGTCTGAATGTTGTCATGTAGACATGTTCAAGGCGAGATTGTTATCAAACACGTGAAGTTTCATTGAGATTGGACCACGTACGCTGAAGTTATGAGGACGTGTTCATGGCGAGACTGTTACAGAATATATGAAGTTCACTGGAGATTGGACATTGCACACTGAAGTTATGAGTGGCATTTCATGGCGAATCCGCTGAATTGGACAAGTCGTCACTGGCACAGTCATTTCACGTAACGCAGCTCAAAATCGCAACGCAGCGCTTACTTCCTGTTGCCAGTGGGTGGCGCTATCACTATGTCTGAATATTGTCATGTAGACGTGTTCAGGGTGGGAGTGTTATCAAACACGTGAAGTTTCATTGAGATTGGATCATGTACGCTGAAGTTATGAGGACGTGTTCAGGGTGGGACTGTACACTGAAGTTGAGTACTATCTGTTTAGGGTGACTGGTCAGAATTCAACGCAACGCCACGGGCACGCCGTTTGACGGAATGTCGTAAATAGCACAACTTTAAATCATGAATGTCTTTAGATTGTGCTGATTAAATTTGAAGTAGATCCGATAAATTCCCTAGGAGGAGTTCGTTCAAATACAAGGCGAAAAATCACAGAAAATGAGCACAGAATGCAAAATGGCTGACTTTGATGGGAAGCCACGGACACGCCCTTTGAACGGACATGTCGTAAATAGCACAACTTTAAATCAGGACCATTTTTTGAGTGTACTCACAAATTTTGAAGCATATCGGATAAATTCCCTAGGAGGAGTTCGTTCAAACACAACGCGAAAAATTCGCAGAAAGTGAAACTTTAAATCAAAATGTCCGACTTCCTATGGGGTTTAGGGTATGGGTCCAAGAGGCTTTTTTGTACGTCCCGGCATTCTAAACGGGCCTACCGAGTTTCGTACATATCGTTGAAACGTGGCGCCGGGGCTGCTGTTTTTTTATCCTGTAGGGGGCGCTACACACAGGACAAACACGATTTTTGATATGTGAGCTTCAGGCACTACTCTACACGTGCCCTGTGAATTTCATATTCATAACTATTACGGTGTCCGTACAGTGATTTTTCATGCCAAAAGAGCGCCACCTAGTGGCGTATTTTTTTTGTCCTTTTTAAGGGAGCCTCAGGGAGCCATGGGGAAGCATCGTACCAAGTTTCATCTTAATCACACATACCGTTGTAGAGATATAAACGTCTTCATTTTAAAGAGCGCCACCTAGTGCTGATGGCCTGAAATTGTGCACGATGCTTAAGGAAGACACCTGGAACTATGCACCCAAGTTTGGTGTCAATCGGACATACCAATGTGGAGAAATGGTCCACTTCCTTTTTTGATGAAAATTCCACAGGAAGTGCTAATTTTATAGCGTGCTTATTGTTTGAAATTTCGAAAATGTTCAAATTGCTTTTTTTGCCAGGGCGGTCCCCAGGTGCTAGGTGAAAAATTTCGTGCGAATCGGACAAAGCGTGTAGGAGGAACACGAAAAAGTAGTTTAACGACATTTCGCGCTCTAACGAAAAAAAATTATAGGCGGAAGTGGGCGGGGCCTATATGGAGAGATTCAGCTCCAATCACCGAACGCGTGGATATAAGTTTTTTTGAATGTGCGAGCAAATATGCAAAAGTTATTAAGTAACAAAAAAGTGAAAATTCGTTTCTCAATAGTAGCGCCACCTAGTGGCAGACCCGAAAGTGACACATGTAAACTCCGCATTTTCACCAGGCCTGACAACTTTGCCAAATAAAATTGACTTTTCGTATATGTTCAGGGGGGTAAAAATGCAGTCAAAGGGTCCTAAAAATAATAATAATAATTAAAGCTGCAAGCAGCGTTGGGCGGGACCTCGCACTCCACGCAACTCGGGGCGTGCTGCCACAACACGAAAATTTCACGTAAATCAGCTCAAAATCGCCATGCAGCGCTTACCACCTGTTGCCGGAAGGTGGCGCTATCACTATGTCTTAATATTGTCATGTAGACAAGTTCAGGGCGGGACTGTTGTATCACACGTGAAGTTTCATTGAGATTGGACCACGTACGCTGAAGTGATGAGGACGTGTTCAGGGCGAGACTGTTACAGAATATATGAAGTTCACTGGAGATTGGACATTGCACACTGAAGTTATGAGTGGCATTTCATGGCGAATCCGCTGAATTTGACAAGTCGTCACTGGCACGGTCATTTCACGTAACGCAGCACAAAATCGCCATGCAGCGCTTACCACCTGTTGCCAGAAGGTGGCGCTATCACTATGTCTGAATATTGTCATGTAGACAAGTTCAGGGCGGGACTGTTGTAACACACCTTAAGTTTCATTGAGATTGGATCATGTACACTGAAGTTGAGTACTATCTGTTTATGGTGAATGGTCGAAATTCAACGCAACGCCACGTGTACGCCGTTTGACGGAATGTCGTAAATAGCACAACTTTTAATCATGAATGTCTTTAGATTGCGCTGATTAAATTGGAAGTTGATCCGATAAATTCCCTAGGAGGAGTTCGTTCAAATACAAGGCAAAAAATCACAGAAAATGAGCACGGAATGCAAAATGGCTGACTTTGATGCCAAGCCACGGACACGCCGTTTGACGGAATGTCGTAATTAGCACAACTTTTAATCATGAATGTCTTTAGATTGCGCTGATTAAATTTGAAGTAGATCCGATAAATTCCCTAGGAGGAGTTCATTCAAATACAACGCGAAAAATCACAGAAAATGACCAAAAAAATCTAAATGGCTGACTTTGATGCCACGCCACGGACTCGCCCTTCAACGTACATGCACAAATAGCACAACCTTTAATCAGGACCATTTTTTGGACTGTACTCACAAATTTTGAAGCATATCTGATAAATTCCCTAGGAGGAGTTCGTTCAAATACAACGCGAAAAGTTTGCTGAAAGTGAAAATGAAAATGAAAATGGCCGACTTCCTGTGGGGTTTGGGGTATGGGTCCAAGAGGCTTTTTTGTACGTCCCCGCATGTTACACGTGCCTACCGAGTTTCGTACATATCGGTGAAACGTGGCGCCGGGGCTTCTGTTTTTTTATCCTGTAGGGGGCGCTACACACATGACGAACACGATTTTTGGTATGTGAGCTTCAGGCACTACTCTACACGTGCCCTGTGAATTTCATATTAATAACTATTACGGTATTCGCACAGTGATTTACCATGCCAAAAGAGCGCCACCTAGTGGCGTATTTTGTTTTTCCTTTTTAAGGGGAGCCTCAGGGAGCCAGGGGGAAGCATCATACCAAGTTTCATCTTAATCACATATACCGTTGTAGAGATATAAACTTCTTCATTTTAAAGAGCGCCACCTAGTGGCAATGGCCTGAAAATTGTGCACGATGCTTAAGGAAGACATGTGGAACTATGGACCCAAGTTTGGTGTCAATCGGACATACCAATGTGGAGAAATGGTCCACTTCCTTTTTGACGAAAAATCTACAGGAAGTTGGAATTTTATAGCGTGCTTATTTTTTTAAATTTCAAAAATGTTCAAATTAGCCTTTTTTGCCAGGGCGGTCCCCAGGTGGTAGGTGAAAAATTTCGTGGGAATCGGACAAAGCGTGTAGGAGGAACACTTAAAAGTAGTTTATGGACATTTTGCGCTCTAGAAAAAAAAAATTCTAGGCGGAAGTGGGCGGGGCTTATATGGGGAGATTCAGCTCCATTCACCGAACACGTGGATGTAAGTTTTTTGAATGTGCGACAAAGTATGCAGAAGTTATTAAGCCTTAACGTGAAATTATTTCTATGATAGTAGCGCCACCTAGTGGCAGACCCGAAAGCGACGCATGTAATATCCCCATTTTCACCAGGCCTGATCACTTTGCCAAATAAAATTGACTTTTCGTCTATGTTCAGGGGGGCAAAAATGCAGTCAATGGGGGCTAAAAATAATAATAGGTAAGAAGAAGAAATCGAGCAAAAACAATAGGGACCTCCAGCGGTCGCTTGCGAGGTCCCTAATAATAATTAAAGCTGCAAGCAGCGTTGAGCGGGACCTCGCACTCCACCCAACTCGGGGCGTGCTGCGGCCGCGTCGCGTGCCGTCGTAACACGTGGGGACCACAACATGAAAATGTCACGTAAATCAGGTCAAAATCGCCAAGCAGCGCTTACCTCCTGTTGCCGGAAGGTGGCGCTATCACTATGTCTGAATGTTGTCATGTAGACATGTTCAAGGCGCGATTGTTATCAAACACGTGAAGTTTCATTGAGATTGGACCACGTACGCTGAAGTTATGAGGACGTGTTCATGGCGAGACTGTTACAGAATATATGAAGTTCACTGGAGATTGGACATTGCACACTGAAGTTATGAGTGGCATTTCATGGCGAATCCGCTGAATTTGACAAGTCGTCACTGGCACGGTCATTTCACGTAACGCAGCACAAAATCGCCATGCAGCGCTTACCACCTGTTGCCAGAAGGTGGCGCTATCACTATGTCTGAATATTGTCATGTAGACGTGTTCAGGGTGGGAGTGTTATCAAACACGTGAAGTTTTATTGAGATTGGATCATGTACGCTGAAGATATGAGGACGTGTTCAGGGTGGGACTGTACACTGAAGTTGAGTACTATCTGTTTAGGGTGAGTGGTCGAAATTCAACGCAACGCCACGGGCACGCCGTTTGACGGAATGTCGTAAATAGCACAACTTTAAATCATGAATGTCTTTAGATTGTGCTGATTAAATTTGAAGTAGATCCGATAAATTCCCTAGGAGGAGTTCGTTCAAATACAAGGCGAAAAATCACAGAAAATGAGCACAGAATGCAAAATGGCTGACTTTGATGGGAAGCCACGGACACGCCCTTCAACGTACATGTCACAAATAGCACAACTTTAAATCAGGACCATTTTTTGAGTGTACTCACAAATTTTGAAGCATATCGGATAAATTCCCTAGGAGGAGTTCGTTCAAATACAACGCGAAAAGTTCACCGAAAGTGAAACTTTAAATCAAAATGGCCGACTTCCTGTGGGGTTTCGGGTATGGGTCCAAGAGGCTTTTTTGTACGTCCCGGCATTCTAAACGGGCCTACCGAGTTTCGTACATATCGGTGAAACGTGGCGCCGGGGCTGCTGTTTATTTATCCTGTAGGGGGCGCTACACACAGGACAAACACGATTTTTGATATGTGAGCTTCAGGCACTACTCTACACGTACCCTGTGAATTTCATATTCATAACTATTACGGTGTCCGTACAGTGACTTTTCATGCCAAAAGAGCGCCACCTAGTGGCGTATTTTTTTTGTCCTTTTTAAGGGAGCCTCAGGGAGCCATGGGGAAGCATCGTACCAAGTTTCATCTTAATCACACATACCGTTGTAGAGATATAAACGTCTTCATTTTAAAGAGCGCCACCTAGTGCTGATGGCCTGAAATTGTGCACGATGCTTAAGGAAGACACCTGGAACTATGCACCCAAGTTTGGTGTCAATCGGACATACCAATGTGGAGAAATGGTCCACTTCCTTTTTTGATGAAAATTCCACAGGAAGTGCTAATTTTATAGCGTGCTTATTGTTTGAAATTTCGAAAATGTTCAAATTGCTTTTTTTGCCAGGGCGGTCCCCAGGTGCTAGGTGAAAAATTTCGTGCGAATCGGACAAAGCGTGTAGGAGGAACACGAAAAAGTAGTTTAACGACATTTCGCACTCTAACGAAAAAAAATTATAGGCGGAAGTGGGCGGGGCCTATATGGAGAGATTCAGCTCCATTCACCGAACGCGTGGATATAAGTTTTTTGAATGTGCGAGCAAATATGCAAAAGTTATTAAGTAACAAAAAAGTGAAAATTCGTTTCTCAATAGTAGCGCCACCTAGTGGCAGACCCGAAAGTGACACATGTAAACTCCGCATTTTCACCAGGCCTGACAACTTTGCCAAATAAAATTGACTTTTCGTATATGTTCAGGGGGGTAAAAATGCAGTCAAAGGGTCCTAAAAATAATAATAATAATAATAATAAAGCTGCAAGCAGCGTTGAGCGGGACCTCGCACTCCACCCAACTCGGGGCGTGCTGCGGCCGCGTCGCGTGCCGTCGTAACACGTGGGGACCACAACATGAAAATGTCACGTAAATCAGCTCAAAATCGCCAAGCAGCGCTTACCTCCTGTTGCCAGAAGGTGGCGCTATCACTATGTCTGAATGTTGTCATGTAGACATGTTCAAGGCGAGATTGTTATCAAACACGTGAAGTTTCATTGAGATTGGACCACGTACGCTGAAGTTATGAGGACGTGTTCAGGGCAAAACTGTTTCAGAATATATGAAGTTTATCGGAGATTGGACATTGCACACTGAAGTTATGAGTGGCATTTCATGGCGAATCCGCTGAATTGGACAAGTCGTCACTGGCACAGTCATTTCACGTAACGCAGGCCAAAATCGCCACGCAGCGCTTACTTCCTGTTGCCAGTAGGTGGCGCTATCACTTTGTCTGAATATTGTCATGTAGACGTGTTCAGGGTGGGACTGTTATCAAACAGGTGAAGTTTCATTGAGATTGGATCATGTACGCTGAAGTTATGAGGACGTGTTCAGGGTGGGACTGTATACTGAAGTTGAGTACTATCTGTTTATGGTGACTGGTCGAAATTCAACGCAACGCCACGGGCACGCCGTTTGACGGAATGTCGTAAATAGCACAACTTTAAATCATGAATGTCTTTAGATTGCGCTGATTAAATTTGAAGTAGATCCGATAAATTCCCTAGGAGGAGTTCGTTCAAATACAAGGCGAAAAATCACAGAAAATGAGCACAGAATTTAAAATGGCTGAGTTTGATGCCAAGCCACGGACACGCCGTTTGACGGAATGTCGTAAATAGCACAACTTTTAATCATGAATGTCTTTAGATTGTGCTGATTAAATTTGAAGTAGATCCGATAAATTGCCTAGGAGGAGTTCGTTGAAATACAACGCGAAAAATCACAGAAAATGACCAAAAGAATCTAAATGGCTGACTTTGATGCCACGCCACGGACACGCCCTTCAACGTACATGCACAAATAGCACAACTTTTAATCAGGACCATTTTTTGAGTGTACTCACAAATTTTGAAGCATATCCGATCAATTCCCTAGGAGGAGTTCGTTCAAATACAACGCGAAAAGTTCACCGAAAGTGAAACTTTAAATCAAAATGGCCGACTTTCTGTGGGGTTTCGGGTATGGGTCCAAGAGGCTTTTTTGTACGTCCCGAGATTCTAAACGGGCCTACCGAGTTTCGTACATATCGGTGAAACGTGGCGCCGGGGCTGCTGTTTATTTATCCTGTAGGGGGCGCTACACACAGGACAAACACGATTTTTGGTATGTGAGCTTCAGGCACTACTCTACACGTGCCCTGTGAATTTCATATTCATAACTATTACGGTATCCGTACAGTGATTTTTCATGCCAAAAGAGCGCCACCTAGTGGCGTATTTTTTTTGTCCTTTTTAAGGGAGCCTCAGGGAGCCATGGGGAAGCATCGTACCAAGTTTCATCTTAATCACACATACCGTTGTAGAGATATAAACGTCTTCATTTTAAAGAGCGCCACCTAGTGCTGATGGCCTGAAATTGTGCACGATGCTTAAGGAAGACACCTGGAACTATGCACCCAAGTTTGGTGTCAATCGGACATACCAATGTGGAGAAATGGTCCACTTCCTTTTTTGATGAAAATTCCACAGGAAGTGCTAATTTTATAGCGTGCTTATTGTTTGAAATTTCGAAAATGTTCAAATTGCTTTTTTTGCCAGGGCGGTCCCCAGGTGCTAGGTGAAAAATTTCGTGCGAATCGGACAAAGCGTGTAGGAGAAACACGAAAAAGTAGTTTAACGACATTTCGCACTCTAACGAAAAAAAATTATAGGCGGAAGTGGGCGGGGCCTATATGGAGAGATTCAGCTCCATTCACCGAACGCGTGGATATAAGTTTTTTGAATGTGCGAGCAAATATGCAAAAGTTATTAAGTAACAAAAAAGTGAAAATTCGTTTCTCAATAGTAGCGCCACCTAGTGGCAGACCCGAAAGTGACACATGTAAACTCCGCATTTTCACCAGGCCTGACAACTTTGCCAAATAAAATTGACTTTTCGTATATGTTCAGGGGGGTAAAAATGCAGTCAAAGGGTCCTAAAAATAATAATAATAATAATAATAAGAAACGAACCAAAAACAATAGGGACCTCCAGCGGTCGCTTGCGAGGTCCCTAATAATTAAAGCTGCAAGCAGCGTTGAGCGGGACCTCGCACTCCACCCAACTCGGGGCGTGCTGCGGCCGCGTCGCGTGCCGTCGTAACACGTGGGGACCACAACATGAAAATGTCACGTAAATCAGCTCAAAATCGCCACACAGCGCTTACTTCCTGTTGCCGGTAGGTGGCGCTATCACTATGTCTTAATATTGTCATGTAGACAAGTTCAGGGCGGGACTGTTGTAACACACCTTAAGTTTCATTGAGATTGGACCACGTACGCTGAAGTTACGAGGACGTGTTCCGGGCGAGACTGTTACAGAATATATGAAGTTTACTGGAGATTGGACATTGCACACTGAAGTTATGAGTGGTATTTCATGGCGGATCCACTGAATTTGACAAGTCGTCACTGGCACGGTCCTTTCACGTAACGCAGCTAAAACGTAACGCAGCTCAAAATCGCCACACAGCGCTTACTTCCTATTGCCAGTAGGTGGCGCTATCACTATGTCTGAATATTGTCATGTAGACGTGTTCAGGGTGGGACTGTTATCAAACACGTGAAGTTTCATTTAGATTGGATCATGAACGCTGAAGTTACGAGGACGTGTTCAGGGTGGGACTGTACACTGAAGTTGAGTACTATCTGTTTATGGTGAATGGTCGAAATTCAACGCAACGCCACGGGTACGCCGTTTGACGGAATGTCGTAAATAGCACAACTTTTAATCATGAATGTCTTTAGATTGCGCTGATTAAATTGGAAGTTGATCCGATAAATTCCCTAGGAGGAGTTCGTTCAAATACAAGGCAAAAAATCACAGAAAATGAGCACGGAATGCAAAATGGCTGACTTTGATGCCAAGCCACGGACACGCCGTTTGACGGAATGTCGTAAATAGCACAACTTTTAATCATGAATGTCTTTAGATTGCGCTGAAAAAATTTGAAGAAGATCCGATAAATTCCCTAGGAGGAGTTCGTTCAAATACAACGCGAAAAATCACAGAAAATGACCAAAAAATCTAAATGGCTGACTTTGATGCCACGCCACGGACACGCCCTTCAACGTACATGCACAAATAGCACAACTTTTAATCAGGACCATTTTTTGAGTGTACTCACAAATTTTGAAGCATATCCGATAAATTCCCTAGGAGGAGTTCGTTCAAATACAACGCGAAAAGTTCGCCGAAATCGAAACTTTAAATCAAAATGGCCGACTTCCTGTGGGGTTTCGGGTATGGGTCCAAGAGGCTTCTTTGTACGTCTCCGCATGTTAAACATGCCTACCAAGTTTCGTACATATCGGTGAAACGTGGCGCCGGGGCTGCTGTTTTTTTATCCTGTAGGGGGCGCTACACACACGACAAACACGATTTTTGGTATGTGAGCTTCAGGCACTACTCTACACGTGCCCTGTGAATTTCATATTCATAACTATTACGGTCTCCGCACAGTGATTTATCCTGCCACCAGAGCGCCACCCAGTGGCCTGATTTTTTTTCCTTTTTTGGTGAGCCTCAGGGAGCCATGGGCAAGCATCCTACCAAGTTTCATCTTAATCACACGTGCCGTTGCAGAGATATAAACTCCTTCATTTTAAAGAGCGCCACCTAGTGGTAATGGTCTGAAATTGTGCACGGTGCCTAAGGAGGACATGAGGAACTATGGACCCAAGTTTGATGTGAATCGAACATACCAATGTTAAGAAATGGTCCTCTTCCTTTTTTGACGAAAAATCTACAGGAAGTCTTAATTTTATAGCGCGCTTATTTTTTGAAATTTCAAAAAGGTTCAAATTACTTTTTTTTCCAGGGCGGTCCCCAGGTGCTAGGTGAAAAATTTCGTGTGAATCGGCCAAAGTGTGTAGGAGGACCACGAAAAGGTACTTTAAGGACATTTAGCGCTCTAACAAAAAAAAATTATAGGCGGAAGTGGGCGGGGCCTATATGGAGAGATTCAGCTCCATTCACCGAACGCGTGGATATAAGTTTTTTGAATGTGCGACAAAATATGCAAAAGTTATTAAGTAACAAGAAACTGAAAATTCTTTTCTCAATAGTAGCGCCACCTAGTGGCAGACCCGAAAGTGACACATGTAAACTCCGCATTTTCACCAGGCCTGACCACTTTGCCAAATAAAATTGACTTTTCGTATATGTTCAGGGGGGCAAAAATGCAGTCAAAGGGTCCTAAAAAGAATAATAATAATAGGTAAGAAGAAGAAATCGAGCAAAAACAATAGGGACCTCCAGCGGTCGCTTGCGAGGTCCCTAATTAAAGCTGCAAGCAGCGTTGAGCGGGACCTCGCACTCCACCCAACTCGGGGCGTGCTGCGGCCGCGTCGCGTGCCGTCGTAACACGTGGGGACCACAACATGAAAATGTCACGTAAATCAGCTCAAAATCGCCAAGCAGCGCTTACCTCCTGTTGCCAGAAGGTGGCGCTATCACTATGTCTGAATGTTGTCATGTAGACATGTTCAAGGCGCGATTGTTATCAAACACGTGAAGTTTCATTGAGATTGGACCACGTACGCTGAAGTTATGAGGACGTGTTCAGGGCGAGACTGTTACAGAATATATGAAGTTTACTGGAGATTGGACATTGCACACTGAAGTTATGAGTGGCATTTCATGGCGAATCCGCTGAATTGGACAAGTCGTCACTGGCACAGTCATTTCACGTAACGCAGCTCAAAATCGCCACGCAGCGCTTACTTCCTGTTGCCAGTGGGTGGCGCTATCACTTTGTCTGAATATTGTCATGTAGACGTGTTCAGGGTGGGAGTGTTATCAAACACGTGAAGTTTCATTGAGATTGGATCATGTACGCTGAAGTTATGAGGACGTGTTCAGGGTGGGACTGTACACTGAAGTTGAGTACTATCTGTTTATGGTGACTGGTCAAAATTCAACGCAACGCCACGGACACGCCGTTTGACGGAATGTCGTAAATAGCACAACTTTAAATCATGAATGTCTTTAGATTGTGCTGATTAAATTTGAAGTAGATCCGATAAATTCCCTAGGAGGAGTTCGTTCAAATACAAGGCGAAAAATCACAGAAAATGAGCACAGAATGCAAAATGGCTGACTTTGAAGGCACGCCACGGACACGCCCTTCAACGTAATGTCACAAATAGCACAACTTTAAATCAGGACCATTTTTTGAGTGTACTCACAAATTTTGAAGCATATCTGATAAATTCCCTAGGAGGAGTTCGTTCAAATACAACGCGAAAAGTTCGCCGAAAGTGAAATTTTAAATCAAAATGGCCGACTTCCTGTGGGGTTTCGGGTATGGGTCCAAGAGGCTTTTTTGTACGTCCCAGCATGTTAAACATGCCTACCAAGTTTCGTACATATCGGTGAAACGAGGCGCCGGGGCTGCTGTTTTTTTATCCTGTAGGGGGCGCTACACACACGACAAACACGATTTTTGGTATGTGAGCTTCAGGCACTACTCTACACGTGCCCTGTGAATTTCATATTCATAACTATTACGGTCTCCGCACAGTGATTTATCCTGCCACCAGAGCGCCACCCAGTGGCCTGATTTTTTTTCCTTTTTAGGTGAGCCTCAGGGAGCCATGGGCAAGCATCCTACCAAGTTTCATTTTAATCACACATACCGTTGTAGAGATATAAACGTCCTTCATTTTAAAGAGCGCCACCTAGTGGTAATGGCCTGAAATTGTGCACGGTGCTTAAGGAAGACATGTGGAACTATGGACCCAAGTTTGATGTGAATCGAACATACCAATGTTAAGAAATGGTCCTCTTCCTTTTTTGACGAAAAATCTACAGGAAGTCTTAATTTTATAGCGCGCTTATTTTTTGAAATTTCAAAAAGGTTCAAATTACTTTTTTTGCCAGGGCGGTCCCCAGGTGCTAGGTGAAAAATTTTGTGGGAATTGGACAAAGCGTGTAGGAGGACCACGAAAACGTACTTTAAGGCCATTTAGCGCTCTAACGAAAAAAAATTATAGGCGGAAGTGGGCGGGGCCTATATGGAGAGATTCAGAATCATTCACCGAACGCGTGGATATAAGTTTTTTGAATGTGCGACAAAATATGCAAAAGTTATTAAGTAACCAAAAAGTGACAATACTTCCCTAAACAGTAGCGCCACCTAGTGGCCGACCCGAAAAAGACGCATAGAATATCAAATTTTTCACCAGGCCTGACAACTTTGCCAAATAAAATTGAGTTTTCGTATATATTCAGGGGGGGAAAAACGCAGTCGAAGTGGCCTAAAAATAATAATAATTAAAGCTGCAAGCAGCGTTGAGCGGGACCTCGCACTCCACCCAACTCGGGGCGTGCTGCGGCCGCGTCGCGTGCCGTCGTAACACGTGGGGACCACAACATGAAAATGTCACATAAATCAGCTCAAAATCGCCAAGCAGCGCTTACCTCCTGTTGCCGGAAGGTGGCGCTATCACTATGTCTGAATGTTGTCATGTAGACATGTTCAAGGCGCGATTGTTATCAAACACGTGAAGTTTCATTGAGATTGGACCACGTACGCTGAAGTTATGAGGACGTGTTCAGGGCGAGACTGTTACAGAATATATGAAGTTCACTGGAGATTGGATCATGAACGCTGAAGTTATGAGGACGTGTTCAGGGTGGGACTGTACACTGAAGTTGAGTACTATCTGTTTATGGTGAATGGTCGAAATTCAACGCAACGCCATGGGTACGCCGTTTGACGGAATGTCGTAAATAGCACAACTTTTAATCATGAATGTCTTTAGATTGCGCTGATTAAATTGGAAGTTGATCCGATAAATTCCCTAGGAGGAGTTCGTTCAAATACAAGGCAAAAAATCACAGAAAATGAGCACGGAATGCAAAATGGCTGACTTTGATGCCAAGCCACGGACACGCCGTTTGACGGAATGTCGTAATTAGCACAACTTTTAATCATGAATGTCTTTAGATTGCGCTGATTAAATTTGAAGTAGATCCGATAAATTCCCTAGGAGGAGTTCGTTCAAATACAACGCGAAAAATCACAGAAAATGACCAAAAAAATCTAAATGGCTGACTTTGATGCCACGCCACGGACTCGCCCTTCAACGTACATGCACAAATAGCACAACCTTTAATCAGCACCATTTTTGGACTGTACTCACAAATTTTGAAGCAGATCTGATAAATTCCCTAGGAGGAGTTCGTTCAAATAAAACGCGAAAAGTTCACCGAAAGTGAAACTTTAAATCAAAATGGCCGACTTCCTGTGGGGTTTGGGGTATGGGTCCAAGAGGCTTTTTTGTACGTCCCGGCATGTTACACGTGCCTACCGAGTTTCGTACATATCGGTGAAACGTGGCGCCGGGGCTTCTGTTTTTTATCCTGTAGGGGGCGCTACACACATGACGAACACGATTTTTGGTATGTGAGCTTCAGGCACTACTCTACACGTGCCCTGTGAATTTCATATTAATAACTATTACGGTATTCGCACAGTGATTTACCATGCCAAAAGAGCGCCACCTAGTGGCGTATTTTGTTTTTCCTTTTTAAGGGAGCCTCAGGGAGCCAGGGGGAAGCATCATACCAAGTTTCATCTTAATCACATATACCGTTGTAGAGATATAGACTTCTTCATTTTAAAGAGCGCCACCTAGTGGCAATGGCCTGAAATTGTGCATGATGCTTAAGGAAGACATGTGGAACTATGGACCCAAGTTTGGTGTCAATCGGACATACCAATGTGGAGAAATGGTCCACTTCCTTTTTTGACGAAAAATCTACAGGAAGTTGGAATTTTATAGCGTGCTTATTTTTTTAAATTTCAAAAATGTTCAAATTAGCCTTTTTGCCAGGGCGGTCCCCAGGTAGTAGGTGAAAAATTTCGTGTGAATCGGAAAAAGCGTGTAGGAGGAACACTTAAAAGTAGTTTATGGACATTTTGCGCTCTAGAAAAAAAAAATTCTAGGCGGAAGTGGGCGGGGCTTATATGGGGAGATTCAGCTCCATTCACCGAACACGTGGATGTAAGTTTTTTGAATGTGCGACAAAGTATGCAGAAGTTATTAGACCTAAACGTATTTTTTTGAATAGTAGCGCCACCTAGTGGCAGACCCGAAAGCGACACATGTAATATCCCCATTTTCACCAGGCCTGATCACTTTGCCAAATAAAATTGAGTTTTCGTATATGTTCAGGGGGGCAAAAATGCAGTCAATGGGGGCTAAAAATAATAATAGGTAAGAAGAAGAAATCGAGCAAAAACAATAGGGACCTCCAGCGGTCGCTTGCGAGGTCCCTAATTAAAGCTGCAAGCAGCGTTGAGCGGGACCTCGCACTCCACCCAACTCGGGGCGTGCTGCGGCCGCGTCGCGTGCCGTCGTAACACGTGGGGACCACAACATGAAAATGTCACGTAAATCAGCTCAAAATCGCCACACAGCGCTTACCTCCTGTTGCCGGTAGGTGGCGCTATCACTATGTCTTAATATTGTCATGTAGACAAGTTCAGGGCGGGACTGTTATAAAACACGTGAAGTTTCATTGAGATTGGACCACGTACGCTGAAGTTATGAGGACGTGTTCAGGGCGAGACTGTTACAGAATATATGAAGTTTACTGGAGATTGGACAATGCACACTGAAGTTATGAGTGGCATTTCATGGCGAATCCGCTGAATTGGACAAGTCGTCACTGGCACGGTCATTTCACGTAACAAACGACCAGCTCAAAATCGCCACGCAGCGCTTACTTCCTGTTGCCAGTAGGTGGCGCTATCACTATGTCTGAATATTGTCATGTAGACGTGTTCAGGGTGGGACTGTTATCAAACACGTGAAGTTTCATTGAGATTGGATCATGTACGCTGAAGTTATGAGGACGTGTTCAGGGTGGGACTGTACACTGAAGTTGAGTACTATCTGTTTAGGGTGAATGGTCGAAATTCAACGCAACGCCACGGGCACGCCGTTTGACGGAATGTCGTAAATAGCACAACTTTTAATCATGTCTTTAGATTGCGCTGATTAAATTTGAAGTTGATCCGATAAATTCCCTAGGAGGAGTTCGTTCAAATACAAGGCGAAAAATCACAGAAAATGAGCACAGAATGCAAAATGGCTGACTTTGATGGCAAGCCACGGACACGCCGTTTGACGGAATGTCGTAATTAGCACAACTTTTAATCATGAATGTCTTTAGATTGCGCTGATTAAATCTGAAGTAGATCCGATAAATTCCCTAGGAGGAGTTCGTTCAAATAAACGCAAAAATCACAGAAAATGACCAAAAAATCTAAATGGCTGACTTTGATGCCACGCCACGGACACCCCTTCAACGTACATGCCCAAATAGCACAACTTTTAATCAGGACCATTTTTTGAGTGTACTCACAAATTTTGAAGCATATCCGATAAATTCCCTAGGAGGAGTTCGTTCAAATACAACGCGAAAAATTCGCCGAAAGTCGAAACTTTAAATCAAAATGGCCGACTTCCTGTGGGGTTTCGGGTATGGGTCCAAGAGGCTTTTTTGTACGTCCCAGCATGTCTAAACGTGCCTACCAAGTTTCGTACATATCGGTGAAACGTGGCGCCGGGGCTGCTGTTTTTTTATCCTGTAGGGGGCGCTACACACAGGACAAACACGATTTTTGGTATGTGAGCTTCAGGCACTACTCTACACGTGCCCTGTGAATTTCATATTCATAACTATTACGGTGTCCGTACAGTGATTTTTCCTGCCAAAAGAGCGCCACCCAGTGGCGTGATTTTTTTGCCTTTTTAAGGTGAGCCTCAGGGAGCCATGGGCAAGCATCCTACCAAGTTTCATCTTTAATCACACATACCGTTGTAGAGATATAAACGTCCTTCATTTTAAAGAGCGCCACCTAGTGGTGATGGCCTGAAATTGTGCACGATGCCTAAGGAAGACATGAGGAACTATGGACCCAAGTTTGGTGTCAATCGGACATACCAATGTGGAGAAATGGTCCTCTTCCTTTTTTGATAAAAAATCTACAGGAAGTGTTAATTTTATAGCGTGCTTATTTTTTGAAATTTCAAAAAGGTTCAAATTACTTTTTTTGCCAGGGCGGTCCCCAGGTGCTAGGTGAAAAATTTGGTGCGAATCGGACAAAGCGTGTAGGACGAATACGAAAAAGTAGTTTAAGGACATTTCGCACTCTAACGAAAAGCAAATGTAGGCGGAAGTGGGCGGGGCCTATATGGAGAGATTCAGCTCCATTCACCGAACGCGTGGATATAAGTTTTTTGAATGTGCAACAAAATATGCAAAAGTTATTAAGTAACAAAAAAGTGAAAATTCTTTTCTCAATAGTAGCGCCACCTAGTGGCAGACCCGAAAGTGACACATGTAAACTCCGCATTTTCACCAGGCCTGACAACTTTGCCAAATAAAATTGACTTTTCGTATATGTTCAGGGGGGTAAAAATGCAGTCAAAGGGGGCTAAAAAAAAAATAATAATATAAAGCTGCAAGCAGCATTGAGCGGGACCTCGCACTCCACCCAACTCGGGGCGTGCTGCGGCCGCGTCGCGTGCCGTCGTAACACGTTGGGACCACAACATGAAAATGTCACGTAAATCAGCTCAAAATCGCCAAGCAGCGCTTACCTCCTGTTGCCGGAAGGTGGCGCTATCACTATGTCTGAATGTTGTCATGTAGACATGTTCAAGGCGAGAGTGTTATCAAACACGTGAAGTTTCAGTGAGATTGGACCACGTACTCTGAAGTTATGAGGACGTGTTCAGGGCAAAACTGTTTCAGAATATATGACGTTTATTGGAGATTGGACATTGCACACTGAAGTTATGAGCACTATTTTATGGCGAATCTGCTGAAATGGACAAGTCATCACTGGCACGCAGTTTAATGTACAGTCCCAGCTGAACTTTTCTATTAGTTTGTATGACGAAAGAATTCAAAGTGACCAACTTTGACCTAACGCCACGGACACACCGTTCAACGTACATGCACAAACAGCACAACTTTTAATCAGGACCATTTTTTGAGTGTACTCACAAATTTTGAAGCATATCCGATAAATTCCCTAGGAGGAGTTTGATCAAATACAACGCGAAAAATTCGCCGAAAGTGAAACTTTAAATCAAAATGGCCGACTTCCTGTGGGGTTTCGGGTATAGGTCCAAGAGGCTTTTTTGTACGTCCCGGCATTCTAAACGGGCCTACCGAGTTTCGTACATATCGGTGAAACGTGGCGCCGGGGCTGCTGTTTTTTTATCCTGTAGGGGGCGCTACACACACGACGAACACGATTTTTGGTATGTGAGCTTCAGGCACTACTCTACACGTGCCCTGTGAATTTCATATTCATAACTATTACGGTGTCCGCACAGTGATTTTTCATGCCAAAAGAGCGCCACCTAGTGGCGTATTTTTTTTGTCCTTTTTATGTGAGCCTCAGGGAGCCAGGGGGAAGCATCGTACCAAGTTTCATCTTAATCACACATACCATTGTAGAGATATAAACTTCTTCATTTTAAAGAGCGCCACCTAGTGCTGATGGCCTGAAATTGTGCATGATGCTTAAGGAAGACACCTGGAACTATGGACCCAAGTTTGGTGTCAATCGGACATACCAATGTGCAGAAATGGTCCACTTCCTTTTTTGACGAAAAATCTACAGGAAGTTGGAATTTTATAGCGTGCTTATTTTTTTAAATTTCAAAAATGTTCAAATTAGCCTTTTTGCCAGGGCGGTCCCCAGGTGCTAGGTGGAAGATTTCGTGCGAATCGGACAAAGCGTGTAGGAGAAACACGAAAAAGTAGTTTAACGACATTTCGCACTCTAACGAAAAAAAATTATAGGCGGAAGTGGGCGGGGCCTATATGGAGAGATTCAGCTCCATTCACCGAACGCGTGGATATAAGTTTTTTGAATGTGCGAGCAAATATGCAAAAGTTATTAAGTAACAAAAAAGTGAAAATTCGTTTCTCAATAGTAGCGCCACCTAGTGGCAGACCCGAAAGCGACACATGTAAACTCCGCATTTTCACCAGGCCTGACAACTTTGCCAAATAAAATTGACTTTTCGTATATGATCAGGGGGGTAAAAATGCAGTCAAAGGGTCCTAAAAATAATAATAATAATAATAATAATAATAATAATAAGAAGAACAAAAACAATAGGGACCTCCAGCGGTGCTGCAGGTCCCTAATTAAAGCTGCAAGCAGCGTTGAGCGGGACCTCGCACCCCACCCAACTCGGGGCGTGCTGCGGCCGCGTCGCGTGCCGTCGTAACACTTGGGGACCACAACATGAAAATGTCACGTAAATCAGCTCAAAATCGCCACGCAGCGCTTACCACCTGTTGCCGGAAGGTGGCGCTATCACTATGTCTTAATATTGTCATGTAGACAAGTTCAGGGCGGGACTGTTGTAACACACGTGAAGTTTCATTGAGATTGGACCACGTACGCTGAAGTTATGAGGACGTGTTCAGGGCGAGACTGTTACAGAATATATGAAGTTCACTGGAGATTGGACATTGCACACTGAAGTTATGAGTGGCATTTCATGGCGAATCCACTGAATTTGACAAGTCGTCACTGGCACCGTCATTTCACGTAACGCAGCACAAAATCGCCATGCAGCGCTTACCACCTGTTGCCAGAAGGTGGCGCTATCACTATGTCTGAATATTGTCATGTAGACGTGTTCAGGGTGGGACTGTTATCAAACACGTGAAGTTTCATTGAGATTGGATCATGTACGCTGAAGTTATGAGGACGTGTTCAGGGTGGGACTGTACACTGAAGTTGAGTACTATCTGTTTATGGTGTATGGTCGAAATTCAACGCAACGCCACGGGTACGCCGTTTGACGGAATGTCGTAAATAGCACAACTTTTAATCATGAATGTCTTTAGATTGCGCTGATTAAATTTGAAGTAGATCCGATAAATTCCCTAGGAGGAGTTCGTTCAAATACAAGGCGAAAAATCACAGAAAATGAGCACAGAATGCAAAATGGCTGACTTTGATGGCAAGCCACGGACACGCCGTTTGACGGAATGTCGTAAATAGCACAACTTTTAATCATGAATGTCTTTAGATTGCGCTGATTAAATTTGAAGTAGATCCGATAAATTGCCTAGGAGGAGTTCGTTCAAATACAACGCGAAAAATCACAGAAAATGGCCAAAAAACTGTAAACGGCTGACTTTGATGCCACGCCACGGACACGCCCTTCAACGTACATGCACAAATAGCACAACTTTTAATCAGGACCATTTTTTGAGTTAACTCACAAATTTTGAAGCATATCCGATAAATTCCCTAGGAGGAGTTCGTTCAAATACAACGCGAAAAGTTCACCGAAAGTGAAACTTTAAATCAAAATGGCCGACTTCCTGTGGGGTTTCGGGTATGGGTCCAAGAGGCTTTTTTGTACGTCCCGGCATTCTAAACGGGCCTACCGAGTTTCGTACATATCGGTGAAACATGGTGCCGGGGCTGCTGTTTTTTTATCCTGTAGGGGGCGCTACACACACGACAAACACGATTTTTGGTATGTGAGCTTCAGGCACTACTCTACACGTGCCCTGTGAATTTCATATTCATAACTATTACGGTGTCCGCACAGTGATTTATCCTGCCACCAGAGCGCCACCCAGTGGCCTGATTTTTTTTCCTTTTTTGGGGAGCCTCAGTGAGCCATGGGCAAGCATCCTACCAAGTTTCATTTTAATCACACGTGCCGTTGCAGAGATATAAACTCCTTCATTTTAAAGAGCGCCACCTAGTGGTTATGGTCTGAAATTGTGCGAGGTGCCTAAGGAGGACATGAGGAACTATGGACCCAAGTTTGATGTGAATCAAACATACCAATAATAAGAAATGGTCCTCTTTCTATTTTGACGAAAAATCTACAGGAAGTCTTAATTTTACAGCGCGCTTATTTTTTGAAATTTCAAAAAGGTTCAAATTACTTTTTTTGCCAGGGCGGTCCCCAGGTGCTAGGTGAAAAATTTCGTGGGAATTGGACAAAGCGTGTAGGAGGACCACGAAAACGTACTTTAAGGACTTTTCGCACTCTAGCGGAAAAAAATTATAGGCGGAAGTGGGCGGGGCCTATATGGAGAGATTCAGCTCCATTCACCGAACGCGTGGATATAAGTTTTTTGAATGTGCGACAAAATATGCAAAAGTTATTAAGTAACCAAAAAGTGAAAATACTTTCCTAAATAGTAGCGCCACCTAGTGGCCGACCTGAAAAAGACACATAGAATATCAAATTTTTCACCAGGCCTGACAACTTTGCCAAATAAAATTGAGTTTTCGTATATATTCAGGGGGAAAAATGCAGTCAAAGGGCCTAAAAATAATAATAATAATAGGTAAGAAACGAGCAAAAACAATAGGGACCTCCAGCGGTCGCTTGCGAGGTCCCTAATAATTAAAGCTGCAAGCAGCGTTGAGCGGGACCTCGCACTCCACCCAACTCGGGCGTGCTGCAGCCACGTGGCGTGCCGTCGTAACACGTGGGGACCACAACATGAAAATGTCACGTAAATCAGCTCAAAATCGCCAAGCAGCGCTTACCTCCTGTTGCCAGAAGGTGGCGCTATCACTATGTCTGAATGTTGTCATGTAGACATGTTCAAGGCGCGAGTGTTATCAAACACGTGAAGTTTCATTGAGATTGGACCACGTACGCTGAAGTTATGAGGACGTGTTCAGGGCAAAACTGTTACAGAATATATGAAGTTTATCGGAGATTGGACATTGCACACTGAAGTTATGAGTGGCATTTCATGGCGAATCCGCTGAATTGGACAAGTCGTCACTGGCACAGTCATTTCACGTAACGCAGCTCAAAATCGTCACGCAGCCAAAATCGCCACGCAGCGCTTACTTCCTGTTGCCAGTGGGTGGCGCTATCACTATGTCTGAATATTGTCATGTAGACGTGTTCAGGGTGGGAGTGTTATCAAACACGTGAAGTTTCATTGAGATTGGATCATGTACGCTGAAGTTATGAGGACGTGTTCAGGGTGGGACTGTACACTGAAGTTGAGTACTATCTGTTTAGGGTGACTGGTCGAAATTCAACGCAACGCCACGGGCACGCCGTTTGACGGAATGTCGTAAATAGCACAACTTTAAATCATGAATGTCTTTAGATTGCGCTGATTAAATTTGAAGTAGATCCGATAAATTCCCTAGGAGGAGTTCGTTCAAATACAAGGCGAAAAATCACAGAAAATGAGCACAGAATGCAAAATGGCTGACTTTGATGGCAAGCCACGGACACGCCGTTTGACGGACATGTCATAAATAGCACAACTTTAAATCAGGACCATTTTTTGAGTGTACTCACAAATTTTGAAGCATATCGGATAAATTCCCTAGGAGGAGTTCGTTCAAACACAACGCGAAAAATTCGCAGAAAGTGAAACTTTAAATCAAAATGTCCGACTTCCTGTGGGGTTTCGGGTATGGGTCCAAGAGGCTTTTTTGTACGTCCCGGCATTCTAAACGGGCCTACCGAGTTTCGTACATATCGGTGAAACGTGGCGCCGGGGCTGCTGTTTTTTTATCCTGTAGGGGGCGCTACACACAGGACAAACACGATTTTTGATATGTGAGCTTCAGGCACTACTCTACACGTGCCCTGTGAATTTCATATTCATAACTATTACGGTGTCCGTACAGTGATTTTTCATGCCAAAAGAGCGCCACCTAGTGGCGTATTTTTTTGTCCTTTTTAAGGGAGCCTCAGGGAGCCATGGGGAAGCATCGTACCAAGTTTCATCTTAATCACACATACCGTTGTAGAGATATAAACGTCTTCATTTTAAAGAGCGCCACCTAGTGCTGATGGCCTGAAATTGTGCACGATGCTTAAGGAAGACACCTGGAACTATGCACCCAAGTTTGGTGTCAATCGGACATACCAATGTGGAGAAATGGTCCACTTCCTTTTTTGATGAAAATTCCACAGGAAGTGCTAATTTTATAGCGTGCTTATTGTTTGAAATTTCGAAAATGTTCAAATTGCTTTTTTTGCCAGGGCGGTCCCCAGGTGCTAGGTGAAAAATTTCGTGCGAATCGGACAAAGCGTGTAGGAGGAACACGAAAAAGTAGTTTAACGACATTTCGCACTCTAACGAAAAAAAATTATAGGCGGAAGTGGGCGGGGCCTATATGGAGAGATTCAGCTCCATTCACCGAACGCGTGGATATAAGTTTTTTGAATGTGCCATAAACTATGCAAAAGTTATTAAGTAACAAAAAAGTGAAAATTCGTTTCTCAATAGTAGCGCCACCTAGTGGCAGACCCGAAAGTGACACATGTAAACTCCGCATTTTCACCAGGCCTGACAACTTTGCCAAATAAAATTGACTTTTCGTATATGTTCAGGGGGGTAAAAATGCAGTCAAAGGGTCCTAAAAATAATAATAATAATAATAAAAGCTGCAAGCAGCGTTGAGCGGGACCTCGCACCCCACCCAACTCGGGGCGTGCTGCGGCCGCGTCGCGTGCCGTCGTAACACTTGGGGACCACAACATGAAAATGTCACGTAAATCAGCTCAAAATCGCCACGCAGCGCTTACCACCTGTTGCCGGAAGGTGGCGCTATCACTATGTCTTAATATTGTCATGTAGACAAGTTCAGGGCGGGACTGTTGTAACACACGTGAAGTTTCATTGAGATTGGACCACGTACGCTGAAGTTATGAGGACGTGTTCAGGGCGAGACTGTTACAGAATATATGAAGTTCACTGGAGATTGGACATTGCACACTGAAGTTATGAGTGGCATTTCATGGCGAATCCGCTGAATTTGACAAGTCGTCACTGGCACGGTCATTTCACGTAACGCAGCACAAAATCGCCACGCAGCGCTTACTTCTTATTGCCAGTAGGTGGCGCTATCACTATGTCTGAATATTGTCATGTAGACGTGTTCAGGGTGGGACTGTTATCAAACACGTGAAGTTTCATTGAGATTGGATCATGTACGCTGAAGTTATGAGGACGTGTTCAGGGTGGGACTGTACACTGAAGTTGAGTACTATCTGTTTATGGTGAATGGTCGAAATTCAACGCAACGCCACGGGTACGCCGTTTGACGGAATGTCGTAAATAGCACAACTTTTAATCATGAATGTCTTTAGATTGTGCTGATTAAATCTGAAGTAGATCCGATAAATTCCCTAGGAGGAGTTCGTTCAAATACAAGGCGAAAAATCACAGAAAATGAGCACAGAATGCAAAATGGCTGACTTTGATGGCAAGCCACGGACACGCCGTTTGACGGAATGTCGTAAATAGCACAACTTTTAATCATGAATGGCTTTAGATTCACTGATTAAATTTGAAGTAGATCCGATAAATTGCCTAGGAGGAGTTCGTTCAAATACAACGAAAAATCACAGAAAATGGCCCAAAAACTTAAACGGCTGACTTTGATGCCACGCCACGGACACGCCCTTCAACGTACATGCACAAATAGCACAACTTTTAATCAGGACCATTTTTTGAGTGTACTCACAAATTTTGAAGCATATCCGATAAATTCCCTAGGAGGAGTTCGTTCAAATACAACGCGAAAAGTTCACCGAAAGTGAAACTTTAAATCAAAATGGCCGACTTCCTGTGGGGTTTCGGGTATGGGTCCAAGAGGCTTTTTTGTACGTCCCGGCATTCTAAACGGGCCTACCGAGTTTCGTACATATCGGTGAAACGTGGCGCCGGGGCTGCTGTTTTTTTATCCTGTAGGGGGGCGCTACACACACGACAAACACGATTTTTGGTATGTGAGCTTCAGGCACTACTCTACACGTGCCCTGTGAATTTCATATTCATAACTATTACGGTATCCGCACAGTGATTTATCCTGCCACCAGAGCGCCACCCAGTGGCCTGATTTTTTTTTCCCTTTTTGGGGAGCCTCAGGGAGCCATGGGCAAGCATCCTACCAAGTTTCATTTTAATCACACGTGCCGTTGTAGAGATATAAACTCCTTCATTTTAAAGAGCGCCACCTAGTGGTAATGGCCTGAAATTGTGCACGATGCCTAAGGAGGACATGTGGAACTATGGACCCAAGTTTGATGTGAATCGAACATACCAATGTGGAGAAATGGTCCTCTTCCTTTTTTGACGAAAAATCTACAGGAAGTCTTAATTTTATAGCGTGCTTATTTTTTGAAATTTCAAAAAGTTCAAATTACTTTTTTTGCCAGGGCGGTCCCCAGGTGCTAGGTGAAAAATTTCGTGGGAATCGGACAAAGCGTGTAGGAGGACCACGAAAACGTAGTTTAAGGACTTTTCGCACTCTAACGGAAAAAAAATTATAGGCGGAAGTGGGCGGGGCCTATATGGAGAGATTCAGCTCCATTCACCGAACGCGTGGATATAAGTTTTTTGAATGTGCGACAAAATATGCAAAAGTTATTAAGTAACCAAAAAGTGAAAATACTTTCCTAAGATAGTAGCGCCACCTAGTGGCCGACCCGAAAAAGACACATAGAATATCAAATTTTTCACCAGGCCTGACAACTTTGCCAAATAAAATTGAGTTTTCGTATATGTTCAGGGGGGAAAAATGCAGTCAAAGGGTCCTAAAAATAATAATAATAATAAGTAAGAAATCGAACAAAAACAATAGGGACCTCCAGCGGTCGCTTGCGAGGTCCCTAATAATAGGAAAAACGAGGTCCCTAATTAAAAAGCTGCAAGCAGCGTTGAGCGGGACCTCGCACTCCACCCAACTCGGGCGTGCTGCGGC